AATGACAAGTACTCGTTGTCCTGGCGAGAAATTAGAATCTGCACGAGTGTCTCCTTAAAATAATAATAATAATTTAAAAACACGTTCGAAGTATGCCACAGGAAGTGGTGGCGGCTACAAGCATGGACGGCTTCAAAAGGGAATTAGATAAGCATATGGAGCAGAGGTCCATCAGTGGCTATTAGCCACAAGGTATAGATAGGGACTCTGGGGCAAGTGATGCTCTGTCTTCTTGGTGCTTGGGGGGAGGGTCAACAGTGGGAGGGCTTCTAATGTCCTGGCCCCACTGGTGGACCTCCTGATGGCACCTGGTATTTCTGGCCACTGTGTGACACAGAGTGTTGGACTAGATGGGCCTTTGGCCTGATCCAACATTGGCGTCTCTTATGTTCTTATGATGCTATGAAGACACCATGTTAACATTCACTGTGAAGATGGGCCTACATCTACATCAGTGTCCCCAACCTTTTAGAATTCTGACACACGGGGTGATCGGTGCAACCAGAAAATGGCTCCCTCAGGCAGTGGAGCCAACCACAAAATGGCTGCCCCTGGAGGCGGAGCCAACCCCCTAAAAACATCAGGGAGTCAGGCTACACAAAACTCTATCATTAACGCTTCTGTTCATCTTTCCGGCAAAAGCTCTGCTTAACAGGAAGCCTTTTAAAGCGAACGTATCATTTAAAAATAGGGTTTTTTGCACGTGCACTGTTCAGTCACACAATGGAGATCCTCGTGCTGTAGGGGCAGCTGATGCTGAAGTAATTTTTTAAAAAATGTATAAGCTAATCAGAAGCCCTGTTGGGCAAAAGCCCTCCTGGCCACCACTGAGGCTCCCTCTAAACCGTGGAGTCTTGTGAGCAAAGATTCTGCTTTGTGAGCTGCTGGCATTAAAGTTGGGAGCGAGTCATTTGGATGCGGCATAACCTAGTTTGCTCTGGAGGCATTCCTTCCTGAGCTAAGGCAAAAATGTGTGAGCTGGAGGCTAAAAAACTGTTGAGCTAGCTCACACTGACTCAGCTTAGAGGAAACACTGGCCACCACACACTTTCCTACAACAATTCGCAAGCGCCAGGAAAGGTGTCAGCGGTTGCCACGGAGCCTCCAGGCACCACACGGGGGATCCCACAGAATCATAGAGTTGGAAGGGGACCTCCAGGGTCATCTAGTCCACCCCCCCCCCGACCATGCCGGAAATTCACTGCCAAGGAAACCCGCCAAGTTTTATTTCACTTTACGGCGATGTATGGATGCGTTGGTTGAGTGCCAAGGACCAGGGCTTGGGTTGAAGGCAGGTCACTTTAAAGAAAAGATGGACTCCAGAGTTGTTCATTGTGCTATTCTAAAGTAAAGGGACTGTCTTTTGGAGACAAGAGGACGATCTGCGGACATTTGGACTCTTGTTCCTCTGGGCTGCTCTTCTGCTGTCAAAGCTCGGTTTCTTCTTGTCCAATACATTGCAGGGCTTCATATTCAGAGGTCCTGGGTGAAACCCCACCGTTTCTCTGAGCCCTTTCCCCCTTGTTGCCATTCCACCTCCTCCTGAGCGGGGGTCGCCAGGATCTGCCCCCAATCTCTAGGAGTTCCCCAATCCTGACTTGGCAACCCTTGGAGGTTCCCTGTGTAAATAGAACCTTGAATGTGCAGCTCGGAGGTGTGGTGATGTGGTGGGCCAGTAGTTGTGAGAAGCCTGATAAAGGGCCAATGTTAAAAACCTAGTGTTAACTTATTGTATCTAAAAATACATGTATGTATTAGAAAGACAGTTAAAAAACATATACAGGCCCAATGAAAGCCTCATAGAATCATAGAATGTTGTAAGTAGGGCTGCCAAATCCCCCTGGGGGGTGGATTTCCCCCCCACTTTGGAGGCCCGATTTCCGCCCCTGCGGAATCGGGCCCCGGGGGAAACCCCACCCCCGCGTGCACGTCACAGGGAAGTGACGTCATGACGCCGGGCACGCTGGGGGCGGGGCACAGCCATTTGAAACATAGAGTTTTCCCCTCAAATGGCAGCACCTTCGTTCTGTACACCAGCGACAGCTTTTCCTCAAAAAGTGTGACCTGGGCCCGGCGACCTCTGCTCTGATCCCATCCAGGTTAGACGAACTATCATGTGATTTGCACGGGGCTGCCTTTGAAAACTTGCTGGTTCAAAACATGCCAGCCAGGCTGATGTCCAGATCTGGATACAGGGTTGGCCGTCACCCCTGTTGAAAGATTTGAACCGGCTTCCCGTTTGTTTCAAGACGCACACACTGTGCAAAGAGCTGGTCCTTACCTTTAAGGCCCTTTGTGGCTTGGGGCCAGGGTACTTGAGGGACTGTCTCCTCCTGTACGCTCTAGTCCTCCGGCCAAGAACTTCCCCACCCACAGCCACAGTGGTGAAGGGGAGAACCGGGTTTGATTCCCCACTCCTCCACTGGCACCTGCTGGATGACCTTAGGCAAGCCGTAGTTCTGACAAGAGCTGTTCTTGGAAAAAAGAGCAGTTTCTGCCAGAGCTCTCTCAGCCCCCCCTACCTCCCAGGGTGTCTGTTGGGGGGAGGGGAAGGAAAAAGGATTTGGAAAGCCGCTCTGAGACTTCGAGTGAAGGGCAGGGTATAAATATAATAACATTCAATAATAACATTCAACTTTATATCCCGCTCGACCCCCCTTGTCAGGGGGGTCTCTGAGCGGCTTACAATTCGGTGCTGGTCACCATTTTACTTCCCTGACTAAGGCCACATATTTGTATGGGGTGGGGTGACCTACCGGCACCCCTATGGTGGTGGTTGGTAGTTGGTGGTGTTCTCCTCTTCTTCCTGTTGGCTCAGGCGGTTTCTCAATCTCTTCTTATTCTTCTCCTTCTGCTCCCTGTGCCCCTGCCTGAAGAGGCATTGTAGGTGGTGACCACAGGAAGGGGCTTTCCAGTGCTGGCCTCTCATCTTAAAATGCTGTCCCCCGTAAAGTTCAGCTGTCCTTTAGGCACCGGGCCAAAACATCGTCTTTACCCAATCTTTTAACTCTAGTTGTTTCGATGGGCTGCTTTGAGCCTAAGGCCTTCTTTTATGGCTTGTTTTAATACTGATCATTCCTTCTTGTTGTTTTTTTGATTCTATTGGGGTTTTGGACGAGTTTGCAATAAATATTTTAATTGATTCTATTGGGTTTTTGGACGAGTTGGCAATAAATATTCTAAAATATAGCATGTCTGTACCTGGTCTGAAATTTCAGGGTTTAGAGGAGAAAGCCACTGTGTTGCTTCTGAAGGGTGGGTCAGATGAGGGTGTGTAATCTAGGACATTCTGGACTTTGACTAGGGAGACCCAAGTTCTGATCCTACTGAGAGCAGGAAATGAGGACTGGGCCAAAGCCAACCTAGGTGTGACCAATGCTCCCTCTAAGCTGTGGAGTCTTGTGAACAAAAATTCTGCTTTGTGAGCTACTGGCATTCTGCAGAAACTCTCTGCCCTCATGACCCCAATGGAAACAAGTTATCAAACATTTTATATATTTTAATGCAGAAACAGAAGCTACAAGGTGGGAGCGACTCACTGAAAAGCAGCAATGAACCCTGGCACAAAGAGAAATTTAGGTTGGCAGTTAAAACTATTCTATTACAATTTCACCAAAAAAACAACCTTTCACAAACTGTCACCCAGTTAGCGCTTGTGATGATGAAGCTGGTTTGTTGGAACTGGGCTATGGAGTCAGGATCATTTCACACTGCACCAAATTGGCTTTAATAATGACTTCCTGGAAAAGACTTTAACAATATCTGGCCTGAAAATTTGAATTCAAGGGTACATAGACGCACAATAGAAGTCCTTCTAGATGCAGCCAAAACAGCAATAGCATTGTACTGGAAGGAGAAAGAGGCACCCTCAGTAGAAATATGGTATAAGAAACTTTGGACTCATTACTTAATGGATGCAGTCTCCAACAAACTAAATTGCATGTCACAAAACCCAATAAAGTCTAATTTCATAGAGAAATGGTACCCAGTGCTAGATTATCTGTCACAAAAACAATTTATCTCATCTGATTGGTCTCAATATCACAAATGGATATAAGATTAATGCAATGTCCAGTTCCGCAAATTCTCATACTTACTTACTTATATCATCTCCACTAGCTCTAATATTTCCTTTTCTTTCTTCTCTTTCTTACCGCTCCAATAGTTCGGGATGCTTCCTAATGTTCCTATCAAGTTTACGCTAAGTCTGTTATCTTTCTACTGAAATCATATTCGGAAGTGTGTTGAGTAATGTATTGTAATTCTTTGAACATGTTATAATGTTGTACATACGCAGGAACTATTTACAGGATGTGAATGTAATTGGAAAATTAATTGTTCACTGTTTGAAGTGTTAGAATTGTTAAAAATTGAAAAAATAAATTTAAAAAAAAAAAAAACTTCCAAAGAAGGGGAGCCCACCGCCCTCCGAGGAAGCCTGTTCCACTGAGGAACCTCTCTGTCAGGAAGTTCTTCCTAACAGTTAGCCGAAAACTCTTCTGATTTAATTTCATGATGCCCACCGGAAAACCTGCAGCACCTCTACCATCTTTGCACTGGGCCAGAGCCTAGCCGGCCGACAGTTGAACTTGGCAGCACGGTTTTTTAAAGCTTGCCCCCTTCTTTGCCAGCGACCCGTGAGACTGTATCGGCCGGCTGCTTCTTTTAAAACGGTGTGAAAATGTGATTCTTTATCAGCTTTCCACGCACACCCCCTCGTAACAGCAGTCAACACTTCTAACAAACCAGGTTGTCAAGCCTTTCCAAAAAATTAGGCTTAGAAAAGGGGGGAATAAGTTGCATCTTCTATTTGAGGAGATCGAGGGAAGCTTGTTTGTTAAAAAAAAATCTGCCGCATAAGAAAGTGTAGGATATTGACCATTGTAGGTATTTCCAGACTGGACAACAACCAATATGGGGCTGCCGGGACACACGGAACCCGATGCACCAGACGCAAGACTCCCTGAGCCCTGGAAGGCAGACTCAACAGAAAGAGGAACTTCTTGCGGAAATAATTTAAGATACCACAGTGTGGACAAAAAAAGCACGGTAGAACACAGAAGGCCTGACGTCCTCACTTACAGACCCTCCTCACGACTGGATATAAAATATATATTAAAACGTCCATTAAAGTGCATCTTTAAAAGACTCGTCTAGTGAAAGAGCTTTTTTCAAATATAAAACACTGAAGACAAGGCGTACATAACACAGTTAAATCAGAATGTACATTTTTAAAAACTACTTTTAAAACTTTCGATTCACTCGGGAATAAGGATGCCCGGCGACAGGCGTGTTTGCATTGTTCTTCGGTCACACGCAGCCTGGCAGCTTTTGGGCTACTTGGCAAATCTTATACTGAAAGCGCAGCCCAAGGAACGCAGTCCAGGCTGCTGCCGCTTCTCTCCGCGCCGCGGGATTCTGGATACATGCCATGCAACCCGGCTTAGATTTTGGGAAGTTTGGGAGTGCTGACCACAGGGTTCGCCTCCTGCAAGTACCGCCGTCCTGCGTTCTTGTAGTCATAGGTACAGGAGTGAGTCTCTGCATAGCGGTGAGTTGCACAGAAGTTGTTTCCGCATCTGAAGGCAGAAAGGGAAGGCGTTAGCAGTCTTCCCAAAAAAACATCCTGGGCCCTGTGATGGATGAGACACAATTGCCTTGGCAGCTAGATCCGTGAAAGATCCGTGGCGCTTCTCCGGTCGTTTTGGGCTCTCCTCTCCTCCCCGTGCAAAAGGGCCCTGTTATCTCAGGGAAAAGGAGCAAGAGATGGACACCAAGTTTAACCATCAGCTCGCCAGGATGAGACATACAGCCAGGGATCATTTCCTGCAGGAGCGCACAGGAGCGGCGCTCCGGCAGTAAAGAGCCCAGGTGGCGGGCACATGCAACAAGCCCCACCCCCTGCTCCCAGCAGTCCTCAGTCAGAGCAAGAAGCAGCCAGGTAAGTTGCAGAGCCCCCCCCCCCGGTCCAAAACAGTCCAGTGGCACCCTTTAAGACCAAGGTTTTTTTTCTTTAACTCTTAAATTTAACTGTCTAGAAAAAGAAAGTGATACAAATGTTTGACTCAGTTTATAATAATCTAAATGAAATGACGATTTGTTGTAACTAAGCTACTGAAGATCTCCTCTCTTGGGTTTTTAGTTAGTAGTGGGTTGTTTTGCTTTGTCCTATATATGTAGCCCCCCCTTCCCTTTTTTCTGTAGTAGTTTTGTAGTTTGATAAAAAATAATAAAAAATCCCCTCCGGGGCTCAAAAAAGAAAAGAAAAAAAGACCAAGTTTTATTCAGGTACAAGCTCTCCCTCCTCTGCAAGGACAGATCTGCACGTTCCCCCCCCTGCCCCCCCCCCCCCAAATAGCTAGCAATCCAAAACAGTCCAGTGGAGCCTGAGCGGTGGGTGTTGCCTTCTGACACGCTTCCGGTGATGTCAGAGATGGGAGCTCACCAGGGGGTGTCGCATACGCAAACAAGTTATGCTAATGAGTTATGCTAATGAGCTCCTGCGCCTCTTTTTCGACGAAATGACCCCTGCATACAGTCATTCCACACTAGCAGATTTCCCCAAGCTCAGTGGCTATACCTGAAGACAGCAAAAAAAAAAAAAAGACAGAACCTCCAGCTGCAGGCAATAACTTCTTCAAGTTGCAAATGTAGTCTTACGGGAGAAGTTCCATCAGGTGGACTCCTCAATCCCTTAGTGGCCTGCTCAGTCTTGTCGAAATGAAGTTCACCGGCCCTCCTCCAGCCCATTACCACCTCCAGATGTTCACTCAGGACACTCGCTGGCACATCTGGTGACGGTTCACTCCAAAGCTCTAGACAACCTCTCTGGCAGTTTCAGCTGGATGGTAAACAGCCGGGGGCGGGGGGGGGCAAGATGGGAAACCACAAGTGCCGGGCAGCTGTCCCCCTGCACCATCACTGGATCCGAAACAGTAAGGTAGGACTAACCTCTGCTAGGGCGTGGAAACAAAAGAAAATCCCAAGAAGAAGAGAATTTTGTGGATAAAGTTAACAGCCTTTTTATTTGTATGTCACTTTGTCAGCCCTACACAGAAATGAGGATGATGGTGAACAGGATTTAATTTGGCGTATTATGTTAACCCATACGGAAGAACTGTCATAAGGTACAGCAGGGTTTAACATAACTTCGGAGAGTAGCCAGATGTTGGTCTGGAGTAGAACAGCTCGATTCAAGTCCAGGAGTGCCTTAGAAACCAGCAAGATTTTGGGGGTAGAAGCTTTCGAGAGTCAGAGCTCCCTGGATCAAATACCTTATATCTGACGAAGGGAGCACTGACAATCGAAACCTTGTACCCTGCAAATCTGGTTAGTCCCCAAGGTGCGAATGGACTCAGATTTAATATGTTATTGATCTTGTAAATTTGGGTTATGAACAAGACATTTTAGAAATTAAAAAATTAAATTATTGTCTTGCACGGGGTAGCTGCTATTCTGTTCATTTCAGTGGCGGCCAACCCTGCTAGTTTCACCTCCGCTGTTCTTCGTGGAGGTCACCCGCAAGACATATGTTACTCTCTGGTGAATAAACTGGACCTACTTCTTGGATTCAAGACCCGAGTGTGCCGCATGACGGAGTGAGCTCCCGTCTCTAGTTCCAGCTCCTGCCAACCTAGCAGTTCGAAAGCAAGAAATTGCAAGTAGATAAATAGGGACCACTTTGGTGGGAAGGGAACAGCGTTCCGTGCACCTTGGTGTTTAGTCATGCTGGCCACGTGACCACGGAAACGTCTTCGGACAGCGCTGGCTCTTCGGCTTGGAAACGGAGATAAGCACCGCAACCCTAGAGTCGGATTCGACTGGCTTTCGAGCAGGGGAACCTTTACCTTTACTTCTTGGATTAAAAGATGGCTCTTTGGAATCCCTTCCCCCATATCCTCTGATTTCAGTTCTGATCCTAACTTTACGTTTGGTATTCAGATCTGGAAAAAAAGGTGAGCTGGGAAAGATCTGGTCCTGGGTCCCAAGGATTTGAAGCAGAAGTGCAGCAAACTTTACAAGAGGCGTTTCCCAGACTCTACGCTGATGATAAACTCGGTGTCAAACTCCATCACCTACCTGGGCCAGAAATGTTACTTCGCTCCTTCCTCCCACCTCGTTGCTGTTGAGGAATCCCTTTTCATTGCTTGGAATATATTTTTGTTTGATGAAATGCACATTTTAACAGGCAGTCTCGACATACCTACATTCATAGCTGGTTGCTAATCCTGTTTTCTTTCCGCAGAAGCAGCAGTGCTTGGCTATTTTCTTTTTAGTCTGAACTGAACCGTTCACAGGTGGGAGATGAGCCGCATCACCTGCTTTCCAAAAAGCAAATCAAGAACAGAATCAGAGAAATAATGGAAGAAGAAGAAGAAGAAGAAGAAGAGGAGGAGGAGGAGGAGGAGGAGGAGGAGAAGGAGGCTGGATTTATATAATGATGCAAGAACAGCAGAGGTCTGCATGGGGAGAAGGCTATTTTCTCAGTAAGAAACAGTGTCTTAAATTGATTTTCAATTGAACATGCGGCTAGAATATTACTACCTAACAACCCTGAAACAGTGCTGTTGGGACTCTTACTGAAGGTCATTTCTAAATTTCAGTTCCATTTCTCTATTTAGTACATTAGCCCAAGAGCAACAGCAATTGATACTGAAATAAACCCATACCCTAATCACCAGATATACAGCCAGGGGTCATTTCCAGCTGGAATGAGCCGGAACGGCGTTCTGGCAGTAACAAGCCCAGGAGCGGGCACATATGGCAGCAGTGGCAAGCCCCGCCCTGAGATCCCAGATCCTCTGGGTTAGGAGATTTCTTCCTCTGTGACCAACACGGATGCATGGAAAATTTTTGATAAAGAAGGTAATTTATTTCTTGATTAAATTAAGACTGAAATGCCAGGGCTGGTACACATTATGACTTCTGTATTTTCAGGTTAAGATTTTTTTTGTTTGTTTTTTAAAACAAAAACTAGGACTAGGAATTAGGGAGTTCCTGAAATTTGGGACATAGGTATGAAACCCCCAGAATGCAACCATTAACGTCATGACTATACGTATTATTAAAATGTATGTTACAAGAATTATACTGTAATGGGCAAGAGATCTGGGACAAGTCAGTGAGGAAAATGCACAATTAACTTAAACACTAATGTTTCGGAGAAAGACCAAGGAAAACTCTGTATACACTACATGACTAGTAACTTTTTTTGGGTAAAATTTTGTAAAATGCTAAGGTTTAGTTATTGAAATAACAAGAAGAAGAAGAAGAGGAGGAGGAGGAGGAGGAGGAGGAGGAGGAGATTGGATTTATACCCCGCCCTTCTCTTGGAGTCTCAGAGTGGCTGACAGTCTCCTTTCCCTTCCCCTCCCCACAACAGACACCCTGTGAGGTAGGTGGGGCTGAGAGAGCTCTGACAGAAACTGCTCTTTTCCAAGAACAGCTCTTATCAGAACCACGGCTTGCCCAAGGTCATGCAGCCGGTGCAAGTGGAGGAGTGGGGAATCAAACCTAGTTCTCCCAGATAAGAGTCCACACACTTAACCACTACACCAAACAACAACAATTACTGACATTAATTGGGTTACCATAGGCTCACAAATAAATTATAGTAATTCCCTTCCTTTATACCCTACTTTTTTACCCAAGGGGATCCAAAGTGGCTTACAATAGTCTCCTCTTTCTCCATTTTATCCTCTCAACAATCCCATGAAACAAGTTAGGCTGAGAGAGAGAATGATTGTGCCCAGGTCACCCAGCCAACTGCCATGGCAGAGAGTTTTAATGGTATTCAACTATACCCGGTTCAGTCAATATTGACTTATATGTCCACTGTGGCTCTTCTGGTCAGTGGGCCCATTGACCAGAAGAGTCACAGAAAGTCATGTCTGAGGAAGGAAGGAAATGCTTGTTAACTCCTCTGAATCAAATGACACCTTCCTTACAGTTAGCACAAACTTACCCAAAGAACGAGATTTTACATCATTGCCCTCTCTTTGGGTACAAGTACTAATCTAATTTCTTTGATGTTCAAAGTAATTACACATCAGACCAAGTATTGAAAACAAATGTACTCTCGAATACAATCATAGAAAAAAGAAGGGGAGGAGGAGGAGATTGGATTTATACCTCGCCCTTCACTACTTGAAGGAGTCTCAGAGCGGCTTACCATCTCCTTTCCTTTCCCCTCCCCACAACAGACACCCTGTGAGGTAGGTTGGGGCTGAGCGAGCTCTCTTGAGAACTGCCCTTGAGAGAACAGCTCTGAAAGAGCTTATGACTGACCCAAGGTCACACCAGCAGCTGCACGTGGAGAAGTGGGGAATCAAACCTGGTTCTCCCAGATTACAGTCCACACTCTTAACCACTACACCACACTGGCTACTCGCTCTTGTTTCATTAAAGCATCATATATGCAATGCATTTATCCTGATCCCCTGCTGGGACTTTGATTGGACAGGAAAGTATCATTGCACCATAAGAATTCTGATGGTATTACTCACCTATTCTTTTCCCTGTAGCCATGATATTTCCATAATCCATGCCCAGGGGTCTAAAAAAAAAAAGTAAAAAAATGGCATTTGTTGTAAACGCGGGTTAAGAGGAAAGATGGAGATAAAGCATTTTGGTATCAGCATGTTTCAAACTTTAGCATTTTACAAAATTTTACCCCCCAAAATGCTGTTTCAGGTTAAAGCAAATATTGGAGCAAAATAATTATTCAAGCATATTATTTCTTTTAAATGGTAAACGTCTCTGATCCTTGAAAACAGAGGTGAATAGAAACACAAAAACGGTATAATCATGGATGCAGTTTTGAGATACCAGGTGAAGGACATTAAAACAAAGTTTACTAGCTGTTCAAGCCACGTTAACCATCTGGGAGATGTTTTAAGAGCATTTTTAGCTCAGGTTTTTCCCAATTATTGGTTTATAATCAGATTATATTGATACCAGCAAGTCAAAGCATGAAGTAGGAAGAGAATTCCTAATTATAGTCAAAGGCTGGTTAGAAGGAGAGAAGGTGATAGATACGATGAACAGTTATCCACCTTTCCTTAAATACTTTTAAATGAGAAATACAGTGCCGTCAGTAAGGAACAAGGGCTTAAGTATGGAACGACATGACAGAGTTGTAAAGGCTGGTTTGGATGGCGAAAATCTATTGATTTTGGATTAAATCACAGTGTCACGGCTCCTGCTGACTGCGAGCAAGCAGCTCCCGCCGAGTGCGAACAAGCGGCCCCAGCAGAGGATCTAAGTGCTGCTGAGGATGAGCTCTCAATGCCAGAAACCCCCACACCTGACGGGGGCTGAGATTCCAGAGGCTACCCAGGCAACAGCTGAGGCAGATGCACGCCCGGACAGCTCCCCTCCTGATTCGCCTCCACTGGTATCCTGCTTGAGAGAACAGTGCCGCCGGGAGATGGCAGCCAGAGGGCGAGAGGCACGCATGTGTGATAGGCGCTCATTCAGCCCCAAGTATTAGCAGGAGCCGGGACTCGCTTGAGGCACGCTAATTGCGAGCAGGTTTATGGGCTATCTAACCCACGCCCTCACGCCGACAAATCGTGCCAGCAACTAGTCTCTTCGGACGAAAGCTCTGCACCTCCTCACTCGTGATCCCCACTCCTGGTTCCTGTCTGGATTTTCTCGGCTCCTTGACCTCGGCTCGAACGACCACACTTCGACTCTGCACCCCAAAGCTTTTGACTCTCTGGCTCTTGACTCTTTTGGACTCTGGTTTCCTGATGACCCTAACGGTTTGTGCTTTGAACTTGGTTTCCCGGTTGGTTTGCTTGCCTGGCTCTTGACCTTGGACTGTACCTTGACCATCCCGCTCTTGTTTTGTGTATTGGACTTGGTTTATGGCTAACTTGCGTGACTGGCTCTTGACCTCGGACTGTATCCTGACTACCTCGCTGGGCAGGAAAGGAGCCAGGCTCTTCTTCCAGGCGGAAGGGGCTGTGTTTGGGAGGGAGGGGTTCTGCCTCTGGCCCAGCCCCAGCCCACCCCAGGAAATTGGAAAGTCTACACCCTCGGTTTTAACCCATTCTCTCCTCCACGTCATGGCTCTCTCCTAGGCTAGAGTATATGCTATGTCAGGGATCCCCAACGTGGTGTCCATGTGTGAGCCGGAGGCTAAAAAAACTGTGAGCTAGCTCACACTAACTCAGCTTAGAGGGAACACTGACGGTGGGGGAGATTAGGGTTTGGGGGACGCATGCCCAACCTCAGACCCTCCAATGGTCCTGTACAGCACAGCAAGAGAGAAGTAAACATCCATCTCTCCTGTGCTGCACCGCTATTGTATCTGAGGGTTAGACGGGCAGATGCCTGGCTCAGCAACCAGCACTGCAAGCCACCTATGCCGCAACGCTAGAAATTTGAAACTGAGGGCCCGACGACCAAGATGCAGATCTTCTACCCACCCAGCTCAGCAAGCTTCAAGACAGAGTTTCCCAGTTGAGCCAGCCTTTCCAGTTTCCCCGACACTGGTGATTCCTTGTAGAACCCCCCCCCCCGCTCCCCAAGCTTGTTTCCTCTAAAAGCAAAGTGGCTGAACGCATGCTGATCTCGAAGTCCGCATGGTCAAAGCAATGGTATTCCCAGTAGTCATGTATGGCTGCGAGAGTTGGACTGTAAGGAAGGCCGAGCGCCGAAGAATAGATTCTTTTGAACTATGGTGCTGGAGAAGACACTTGAGAGTCCCTTGGACTGCAAGGAGATCAAATTAGTCAATCCTAAAAGAAATCAACCCGGACTGTTCCCTGGAAGGCCAGATAATGAAACTGAAGCTCAAATACTTTGGCCACCAAATGAGAAGGGAGCACTCACTGGAGAAGACCCTGATGCTGGGAAAGACTGAAGGTCAAAGAAGACGGGGATGGCAAAGGATGAGATGGTTAGACAGTGTCATAGATGCAACGAACATGAAATTGAACAAACTTCAGAGGACGGCGGAAGACAGGAGGGCCTGGTGAGATCTTGTCCATGGGGTCGCAAAGAGTCGGACTCGACTGTGCGACTGAACAACAACCAATGCTCCCTTCTAAGCGGTGGAGTCTTGAGAGCAAAAATTCTACTTTGTGAGCTACCGGCACTGAAGTTGTGAGCCGGCGATTTGGCTGCTGCATAAATTAGTCTTCCAGACGGAAATTAAATTATACCTTCTTTTTTATAGTTCCTCCTCCTTTTGCTACACGTTTGAGTTAACAGGGAGTGTTTCCAACTCCAAATGCAGAATTACGTCAAATGTACACGCTAAGCTTCAGTATCATCTTTGTGTTGAAGGGACATCCTAGATTACAACAAATCCCAAACATGAACACGGAGAAGGCCAAATAGCGGGAAACCAAATGCCTCTCCTTCAGTTGGCCAGATGTTTCCTAAACGATCAAGGATAGCTATGCATCCAAGTGTTTAAAGCATATTAAGCAATTATCATTCCACTGAATTTCAACAGCACCTAGGCTTGGAATGGAAATAGCCTTGGACATCCTGAGTGTTGATCATGGCCAGGAGCGTGATAAGGGGGAGGGTATCCCAGTATGAGGAGCTGCAGTGGCTCAAGTGGTTAAGACGCTGAACTGGAGGCTGTGGAAGGTCAGTAGTTTAGCAGTTCAAGACCTGAGTGTGCCGCATGACGGGGTGAGCTCCCGTCTCTAGTTCCAGCTCCTGCCAACCTAGCAGTTCGAAAGCAAGACATTGCAAGTAGATTAATAGGTACCACTTCAGTGGGAAGGTCACAGCGTTCCGTGCGCCTCGGTGTTTAGTCATGCCGGCCACGTGACCACGGAAACGTCTTCGGACAGCGCTGGCTCTTTGGCTTTGAAACGGAGATGAGCACTGCAACCCTAGAGTCGGACTCGACTGGCTTTCGAGCAAGGGAGACCTTTACCTTTACCTTTTTATCCCAGTATGGTCTCCTGGAACTCTCCCTGGGGCTTTCAGTACCAATTACCACAGTATCCTTCTGGAGCAGATATGTCCTCGGGAGCTGGTGGGCTCTCCTTCTTTTGAGGTTTTCAAACAGAGGCTAGAGAGCCATCTGACAGCAATGCGGATTCTGTGAACTTAAGCAGATCATGAGAGGGAGGGCAGGAAGGGTTGCCTCGGTGCTTAGTTCTTGTGGCCCTTTCCTGCACGCCCAGGGAAATGTTGATCGCCAGTTTGGGGTCAGGAAGCCATTTTTCTCCAAGCCAGTTTGGATGGAGATCCTGGAGGTTTTTTGTCATCTTCTGAGCGTAGAGCAGGGGTCACTGGGGGTTCTTGGGGGGGGGGAGGCATTTGTGAATTTCCTGCATTTCCTGCCCTTTCCTGCACGCCCATAAAAACGTTGACCACCACTTTGGGGTCAGGAAGCCATTTTTCTCCAGGCCAGTTTGGCTGGAGATCCTGGAGGTTTTTTGTCATCTTCTGAGCGTAGAGCAGGGGTCACTGGGGGTGTTTTTTTTGGGGGGAGGCATTTCTGAATTTCCTGCATTGTGCAGGGGGTTGGACTAGATGACCCTGGAGGTCCCCTTCCAACTCTATGATTCTATGAGTGATCAGCGACAAAGCCGACAGAGGACTGGGGAGTCAGTCTGTCCTGGAGAGCTGTGGTCCCCCTGAAGGGTTTGTTTTCTCTCTCTCTCTCTCTCACACACACACACAAAGTTGCCTTATACTGAATCAGACCCATCCGTTCATCGGTATCGTCTACTCAGCTTGGCGGGGTTGTTATCCAGGGTCTCAGGCAGAGGTCTTCCACATCACCTGCTGCCTGGTCCTTCGAACTGGAGATGCCGGGGATTGGACCTGGGACCTTGCATCCCCAAGATGCCACAGCGGGGATGCATCTTGGGATACTGCTGGGACCGGGCCTACAGTTGGAAGCTCAGCTTTACTGTCACATGCCGTGCCTCCAATCAGCCTGGGCCTGGTTCCTTGAAGACGGATCTGTCCACGTCGGCCGAGACTCTGGCCACACCCAGGACTGCCTTGAGGACTGGCCTGAAACTTCAACGAGTCCAGGGGTCATTTCCTGCAGGAGCGCACAGGAGCGGTGCTCCGGCAGTAAAGAGCCCAGGGGGTGGGTACATGCAACAAGCCCCACCCCCTGCTCCCAGCAGCCCTCAGTCAGAGTGAGAAGCAGCCAGGTAAGTTGCAGAGCTCCCCCCCCCCGGCGCCCCGGCCCAAAACAGTCCAGTGGCACCTTTAAGACCAAGTTTTATTCAGGTACAAGCTCTCCCTCCTCTGCAAGGACAGATCTGCATGTTCCCCACCCCCCAATAGCTAGCAATCCAAAACAGTCCAGTGGAACCTGAGCGGTGGGTGTTGCCTTCTGACACACTTCCGGTAATGACAGGGGGCGTGGCATCTGCAAATAAGTTATGCTAATGAGCTCCTGCACCTCTTTTTCTACAAAATGACCCCTGAACGAGTCCAAAAGGCAGTTGCCAGACCAGTGTCTACGGTAGCACAGAGGGAGTACGTCTCCCCTGTGCTGAGAGCTCTGCACTGACTGCTTGTCAATTACTTGAAACTACTTTAATTTTAAGGCTCTAAATAGTTTCAGACCATGGTACCTGAAAGACCCCTCTTCCCATATTGTCCAGTTCTCCCCAGTGAAGTTCCCAATCTCAAGCACTTACTCCGGGTGCCCCTGACCATGGAAAGGGGGGGGAGGCTTTGTCTAGACAGGAGACCTTCTCAGTGGTGGCTCCACACCTGTGGAATGCCCCTCCCTGTTGAAATGTATCTACCTTTCTGTCTATTCTCTTAGAAGCGCATTGATTTACAAATCCTGTGCAGCAGAGAGGGGGAAAAATGTATTCATTTTTTGGATGCAAGGGATGAAAGGACCAAAACAGATTTTGCTACCTATTTATCTGGTTTGATAGTGCAGAATCGTGTCTACATTACTGTTTTCTGTCTACTCCTCCTTTTGCTTTAATGCTGATTTTATACTGCTGGTTATACTGTTGGGTTGGCTGGTTTAATGCTGATTTTATACTGCTGGTTATACTGTTGGGTTGGCTGGTTTAATGCTGATTTTATACTGCTGGTTGCCAGTTTGGTGTAGTGGTTAAGTGTGCGGACTCTAATCTGGGAGAACCGGGTTTGATTCCCCACTCCTCCACTTGCAGCTGCTGGATGACCTTGGGCAAGCCATAGTTCTGGCACAGCTGTTCTTGAAAAAGAGCAGTTTCCATCAGGGCTCTCTCAGCCCCACCCACCTCCCAGGGTGTCTGTTGTGGGGAGGGGAAGGGAAAGGAGTTTGTAAGCCGCTCTGAGACTCCAAGTGAAGGGCGGGGTATAAATCCAGACAGATGATGGGTTTTAGTCATTACCTGTTTTGATTTTAAGTAGACTCAAACTTTGTTCTACTGCTTCAGACCAGCACGGCTATCTACCCAAATCTATTATTTCATGTCAACGGCCACCTTGGGCAGGCTCTGGAGAGTGCAGTGGTATATATATATATATTTAAGTAAATAAATGCTGTTAATATTTTAAATATCCATGAAAGGGCGAAACTGCTGAGATCACATGTTGCAATCTGGCGTCCTTTCCAGCATAGAATTTATTGGCATTAAATGTAAAACATCTGTACTTATTAATTGGTGTGTAATCTGGGACCCTCCTGCCAACCTAGCCGTTCGAAAGCAAGAAATTGCAAGTAGATAAATAGGTACCACTTCGGTGGGAAGGTAACAGCATTCCATGCGCCTCGGTGTTTAGTCATGCCGGCCACATGACCACGGAAACGTCTTCGGACAGCGCTGGCTCTTCGGCTTGGAAACGGAGATGAGCACTGCAACCCTAGAGTCGGATTCGACTGGCTTTCGAGCAAGGGAACCTTTACCTTTACTTAATCTGGGACCAGTTTGCCAATTACTCCAATATCGAACTTCATTGTTTCTGCTGATGGTATTAATTTAATTGATTCAGTGAAAGGGGGGGGGGGCGCAAAAACTAACCAACCTCACAGGAAGGGAGAAACACAGACCAAACTTTCCAGGCATCACGGGAAGGGTTCCTTCGATTTAGAGAGCTTACGTCGTACTTACTAAAAAATATCCAGGCACGTCATTGTGGGGAGAGGCCATTCTGAAGCTGTCGTCCTGAAAATGCTGGAAGAGTGTAGTCAGTGCAATGCCAGAAGTCCGAAAGCGGCTCGCGCCACGGGGATTCTGCAAACCGTCCCTGTTTGTGCTCCGGGCCAGTGAGGACAGAAATCCTACGTTATTTGCAGAAACGACGGGTTCTTTGGATGCTTTGACAGCAACTCCTGCCATTTCCCTGGCCTCCGCTTTAGAATGGATATCAGGTCTTTTGCCAGGTGAGTCTATTCTGACACCGGGGTACCTAGGGCTCCTGGCGGAAGAGGAGTCCGTCGAGCCGTGCACCTCCAGCGATCGCAATACATGCGGAGGAGCGGCAGGCCTGAAGTTACCGGCCTCGAAGGACCGTGATGGGAGTGGAGGCTTCTGAGGACTGCAGCTTGTCCCTTGGGATGAGCCCTGAAGATGGGAATGGCATGTGTTCTTCTGAGAACTTAATTCGTGAAAGTTCGGAATACAAGCCTCTGCTGTGCCGGAGGTCAACAGTTCTGTATTGGGCTTGCCAGGAAGTTCCGCAGCGTTGCAGTCTTCATCCCCAGCAAACATCCCCGTCGGTGCTGGGATCACCTTTCCTGCAAATAGTTCACCGCACAGTTCAGCGGCATTTGATTCTGTCAATGTCACAGCATCCCTGTTTGGGACCAAGTCTGGCTTTTCTTCTGTGGCGTGTAAATCTGTGCTGCTGAGATCTGGGAGAAAAACATGACCGCTCTCGTTTTCTGCCCTGCCATTTTCAGTGCTTTTTTCAGAACCTGGAGGCGGAGCTCGGATGAACACCGTATCGTCTGTGGGAAATTTAGCGGCTTCTTTTTCTGAACGCGGAGTTCTGGGTGTCAGCCTGAGGGTCCCGACTGACTGAGGCTGGGGGCTGGCCTCCCAGCGGTCATTTCCCGTAAAGAAGTCACTGGTAATGGCGGGCACCCTCCTACCAGCCGTGCCCAAAACGGAAGGTGCTTTTGGAGGCGATTCTGAGGCAAACGGATTGCCGGGGGGCGGAAAGCGAGACTGTCCGATCTGAGGGAGCGCCTGGAAAAAACGGTGGCGAGCGGCCGCCACTGATCCGCTGGCCGGACGAGGAGCCGCTGGCGGGTGGGGAAACACTTTCACAAGCTTCTTCGGCTGAGAGAAAGGAAACAGAAGGGACGGTTATTGTCACCTGAATGGCGGCATCAGCCATCAATTCCAAAATTGCTACAAAGAGATGCTAGGTTTCTTGCGCCGAGAGAGTACTCTTTATCTCAGAAACACAGAGCCCGAGGAGGAGGAAGTGGTCTTAAAGCCCACTTTCCGTACTTAGAATTAACGCCAGTCTCCAGTCACCCAACAACGCCCTCCCCGCTCTCAGGCCTAACTTGGATGCCCTTTGTAATGAGGTCTGAGGTTAAAGCCCTGGCTAATAAATGTTGGCCAACATTATGCTGAAGTCGTTCGGATTCTAATTTTCAGGGGTCATTTGGGGCTGGAACGAGCTGGAGCAGCGTTCCGGCAGCCCAGGAGCAGGCACAAATGGCGGTGGCGGCAAACCCTGCCTCTAGCTCCCAGCGGGCTTGCGGAGGAAGCGAAAAGAGAAGGGGTTTAACGTTTAAGCCCCTTCTCTCTACAGTCGCGCCACAGTGGCGGCACGATCTCCTATTGTATCCTATGGCCCCATAGAATACAATGGAAAGACCATGCCGCTGTTGCGGCGCAACTCGAGAGAGAAGGGGTTTAAACTTTAAACCCCTTCTCTCTTTGCTTCCTCCGCAAGACCGCCTTGGCAGCTGAGGAAGGGAAGGGGAGGCTTCTGAAGATGCCCCCCCCCTTTTTGCTTCCCCTTCTGACACGCTTCCGGTGATGTCAGGGGGCGTGGCATATGCTAATGTTATTCTAATAAGCTCCTGCACCTCTTTCTCTACAGAATGACCCCTGCTAATTTTAGTAAGCAAATTCTATTCCAGGGGTCCCCAACCTTTTTGAGCCTGTGGGCACCTTTGGAATTCTGACACAGTGTGGTGGACGCAGACACAAAATGGCTGCTGCTGAAGGCAGAGCCAGCCCCAAAATGGCTGCTGCAGCCAACCAGCAGAAACAAGAAGGGGAAAAAACTGAACCTAACAATAAACTCCAGAACCAAACAAAGGTTAGTGAAAAGGAGGGCCAATATTAAAACCTTTCCATAAAAAGAGGCACATGTATTTATTGATAATAACAAATTTAAAACATATATAGGGGCCCAATTACAACCAATGTATATAAAACATAACAATATCAAGGGCTTAAAAAGTTGACCTTACGCGTTTCGGCCAAATAGGCCTTCCTCAGAGGTCATACATATGTGGCAAGATGGTTAATAATTATATTCACATAAACACAATCAGAAATATATACAAAGTATAGATTCAATAAGGACCATGAAGTAAATTGTTCAGAAGTAAAATCGCCAGGGACAGGATAAATATGCACATAAGACCTTTAAAGTGCAATCACTAGCCCAGTGATTATAAAATAAACTTATGGTCCCAAAATTTCCTTCTTTGATTGTGTTCCCACAGTATTCACAAGTAAAAAGCAGTGGCCCTCCTTTTCACTAACCTTTGTTTGGTGCTGCAGCCAACCTCCAGTCACACAGTGACGATCCTCATGCGGTGACAGCAGCGACTGCCAAAGCAACATTTTTAAAAAACCTGCACAGCCAATCAGATCTCCAACGGCCAATCAGAAGCCTTGCTGGATGAAAGCCCCCCCCTCCCAGCCCCCCCCATTTCCTGAAAACACGTAGTGGGCCCGAAGGCACCCACAGGCACCCCACTGCGGTACCCCGTTCTACTCCAATAATGACCTAAGAATATAGTTGAGTGACGCGATCAAACGAGAACGATTATCACAGAGCCATCAGGGTTTCTGCTGGCCATTTACCTTCTCTTATGGGGTCTCCGACTTTCTACAGCCAACAAGGCCATCACTCCCTTTAACGGAGCAGTGAGGAAAACGGAGGGCCACGGGAGAAAGGCGGGCAGCCCACTCTTTAGAAGGAGCCGGAATGCGGAGGCACAAGTGGTGCGGGAGGGGGCAGCGCGGGAGAGTGGGCACAGCTTCACCTTTTTGCCGAGATTCATGCTCTCCATCTTGGCCTTGAGCAGCTTCATTTTATTCATTGTAATAGAGTTCTCAATGATCTGCTGGCCAGAGGGGGAGGCCTCCGCATCTTCGTCATCGTCAGGGTACAAATTATAAACTGAACCACCGCTAGGAAGAAAGCGCAACCACAGTTTCCACGTTAGAGGTTTAAGAACACATCATCAGCGCTCACAAGAAGAAGAAGAGAAGGATGATGATGAGGAAATTGGATTTATACCCTGCCCTTTACTACCCAAAGGAGTCTCAGGGTGACTTACAATTCCTTTCCCTTCCACTCCCCACAACAGACACCCTGTAAGGTAGGTGGGGCTGAGAGAGCTCTCTCGAGAACTGTCCTTGAGAGAACCGCTTTTTTCCTTGAGAGAACCGGTCTGAGAGAACGTGTGACTGACCCACGGTCACACCAGCAGCTGCACGTGGAGGAGTGGGGAATCAAACCCGGTCCTCCCAGATTAGAGTCTGCACTCCTAACCAGTACACCAAACCCAGCTATGAAACAATGACGTCACACAAGCAATTAAAATGTATTAACACTGAGTCCATACTGCACTTCCCAAGAGCGTTTGTTAAAAGTTCTGCCAAAGGTTCCAGAGAAAACTTAGCATAAGGGAGCCGGTGTGTTACGGTGGTTAGAGAGTCAGAACACACGGGCATGTGAGATTATTCTCATTGAAAGATGCGAGAAATAAAGGAAAACACAAGTCAATGTAACAACAAGGGGCTCGAGCCAATTCCCTTGTGGCATTGTATTGTTCTAGTCATCTTCAGATTCAAGGGAAACTCTTACAGTAATCAATATCCTTTGAATGAGAAAACTGAGCAGGGGTTGCCAGGAGGGAGGAGCTGAGAATTTCCTACTGTAAAGGGGGTTGGACTGGGTGACCTTTGGGAGCCCTTCCAGCTCTATGTTTCTACGTAATATCCAGAAGACCCCCCGAGGAAGAAATAAAGGACAATATACCTTAACGATTCAGATAACGGGGTTATCGTTCCATCTCCCCTGTCTATAACACGGAAGAAATTCACCTGGTCTCCTTCTCGCAATATCAAGAAGGCAATCTGTTTATTGCATGGACCCTTCTCCCAGACCTCCTCGTGACCGGGGTCCATGTATTCCGTTATTTCCCTGATTGGGTCTTCCACAGGAACTACAAAGAAGAGAAACAGCGAGAAATAGTTTCCGGTTTAAAGGTTTTTACCACAGAAGTTGGCTGAAAGACACCCATTTACAAAGACCATCATAAAGGGGCAGAAGAATTTTTTGCAGACTGGAAAGACTTTAAAGACTATTTGGAGAAATACTGGGGTGTAAAAGACAATTTACTTTGCTTTGAGAATTATTGAAAACTGGAAGACAGTAGAAAATAGATAACGTATAAGGATAACAAATGAAGGATAAGTTACCTGTAGATGTAAAATAGGGGGAAAGAGAGGTTTGAGGAAATTTAAGAATTGAGCTGGAGGTTGGAGCACTGTGGGAAGCCAAGAAAGGGGGGAGAGGGAGGAGGGTAGGATATATAAGTGTATGAGATTTGATATATGTTTGGACATTATGTTTGTATTATATCCTAATAAACTGGTTTTTTTTTTAAAAAAGAGCAGTCTGCTAGACAGATCATGACAATGACTCTGCAAACATCTCAGAGGGGTCAAGCGGCAATATGCCGGGAGACAGAATCTATACTTGACTGTTGCATACTAGCACAAACGGGCCATCGGATTTCCTCCTGGTCCACGGTGCCTGTTCCCAAAACAGAATGACCATAGCGATGGCCACTGTAAATGGGGGAAAGGTTTAGAACACAGCTAGAGTCCAGTGGCACCTTTAAGACCAACAAAGTTTTATTCAAGGTGTGGGCTTCCGTGTGCATGCACACTTTGTCAGACGAGAAATGGAATGACGTATCATATCCCAGGAAAAGGATTTTGTCAGTTACCTCCATGTTTTATTGAAGCAAAATGTTATTACTACTCTTAGCAATTAAGAACATAATATGTAATGTAATTTGGAATGGTAAATGCAGTTCTTCGTTTTGGGGAGAAGGAAAACACTCAACACAGCCAAGATGCTGTAAAATTCACCTCCATGCTTGAAAGGAGATGGATGCAGTCTATGGATGGGATTCTCACAAATTAGGACACAATCTTAGGGCTCTTTGTGTAGCATGAACTCCTTTGCATATTAGGCAACACACCCCTAATGTAGCCAATCCCCCAAGAGCTTACAGAGCTCTTCTTACAGGGGCTACTGTAAGCTCTTGGAGGATTGGCTACATTAGGGGTGTGTCGCCTAATATGCAAAGGAGTTCCTGCTACAAAAAGAGCCCTCAGTCTCCAGTTCTAACATATTTATTACCTATGTTGTCTCCTGCCCCCCACTGAACCGAAACAGATGATAACCAGGAACTAAGCTTGTCATTCTTTTGATCTGTTAAAAAAAAAGTATCCTCACTATTTTGCATGCTAATTTAACAAACCACTCCTGTATATAGAACTGTGATATGTAACTCCGTTTGTTCATCAATGAAGTAGAGGATTTAGCCTCATCAACCTCCGCCCACATCATACAAGGACCACTTTGTACATTTTGACCAGGATCCAATGCAGAGATCAGCATTCTTGATTTCAATAATCTTATGTGTGTGTGTGTTGTTGTGCTGACAAGTCACTTCTGTCCTATGGTGAGCCTATGATTCAGGGGTCGTTTCGTAGAAAAAGAGCTAGGGGAACTCATTAGCATAACTCATTAGCATATGCCACACCCCCTGACATCACCGGAAGTGTGTCATAAGGCCACACCCCCCGCCCCCAACAGTCCCGGCCGTCACCGCCGGCCTTGCAGCTCCACTGTCGAGCCACATGAGGGGCCCGGCGGTGGACCTGCAAGGCCGGC